GCCAGGAGCCCCTAGTAGCGTTCTTGCTCCTAGTAGCGATGCCCTTTATCAACTTGAGGATACTTGAGGTGACGGCGTTGCCCGGGCCGTCCTCGCTGGCGGCGCTGACTTGGCGCTGTCTTTCCACTAAACGGTCGTCCGAGCAGTCAGAGGCTGCACCATCTGAACGTGTGTCAGACACCACCTGGGCAGCGATGGCCTCCACCCTAGTAGCTTCTTGTTACTAGTAAGGCCACGAGCTAGTAGTAGCGATGGCCTCCAACCTACTAGCGATGGCAAGCACCACCTGGGCAAAACAATGCCTCATGTTTGGCACTTGCTTCCAATATCTTCCAACAATCAATGATAGAAACACATCACACATGAGAACTTAGAACCACATGTCCACGGTATGGCCACCGAGTCCACCGATGGCCAAAAACTGATTGCCAAACAACTTTATACAGCTGCACAAAGATTTGTCGTTCTATCTTTGGGTAACACAACCCCTTTTGGACATCACTTTTTGCAAGAGCTTTCGCCTAGACTTTCATTGCCCTCGGTATGCATATGTTTCGGCACCACAGTGATGCCATAGGCAAGGGCAAGGTCTTGTTCCTAGTAGCGATGCCAGGAGCCCCTAGTAGCTTCTTGTTCCTAGTAGTAAGGCCAGGAGCCCCTAGTAGCTTCTTGTTCCTAGTAGTAAGGCCAGGAGCCCCTAGTAGCGTTCATTAATAGATCTATAGAGCAACTGAGAACATGTCAACCACGCCTTTCCGCTGTAATTCGGGACAGGCATGCCCTCCGCTTCGGAGTCTGCCGGAGCAAAGGCCTCTGATGTGGGAGGATTGAAGGGAGAGTCTGATTCAATCAAGATGGTGAATGTTGTGGACCTATGGTAACTCCACATCGATGACGAAACAAACCAAAATAACGGAATCAGAAACTAAACCAAAACATACATAAACGAACTGTATCTCTGAGGTCTTGCTTGGCCGAAGATTGGCGCGAGGAGAAGTACAATGTGAGAAACCTGGTGCTCTCAAATCTTGGCTCTCAGAAGGAGGCCAACGCTATTAGGTTGGAGGCGATCGCTATTAGGTTGAAGGCGATCACTATTCGGCTGGAGCTCATCCCTATAGGAGGTTGGAGGCGATTGCTATTAGGTTGGAGGCCATCGCTATTAGGTT